TCCAGCTACTTAGGAAGCTGAGGGAGGAGACTCACTTGAACTGAGAGGTGGAGGTTGCAGTGAGCCAAGGTCACGCCACATCACTCCAGCCTGGCGACAGAGCAAGACTCATTTATGTAACCCTCAATGAATAGTGTACTGCTATTTTTATATTTCCTAAAATCCCAGTGTCCATTTCATTTAACTGTTTATGAATATGATAGAAACAAAGCACATAAAATATAAATATATATTTATAAGAAATAATCAAGTATTTAGCTATTCTTAAAAAAGAATACAGAAAAAATCCCCACATCTGTTTATTAAAATGTTGTATCAATGTATAATGGCAAAAATAGTGAGTAGCATTGTAAGGACAGAGCTGGTTGATGTAGCAACATAGGTCCTGGTCACAAAACTAAACACGTTGTAAGCCATCTGCTGGCACTCCATAAATAGTTAAAAGACAGATTTCACATTTTTCAGTTTTAAACTGCACATTCTAATAATCTCATAAAAAGCACCATGCATTTTATCTTATTCATTACTGGTGGGTCATGTTAATGTGCATGTTAGCCTTAGAAACCCAGCTAGTAGTAGTCTATTAACATCTTTATGTCTGAGGTTTTATGACTTTATTAGGAACCAAGAATCTTCTTTTTACTAACATTTCACATTTACTAGACTAGTCAGTTCACATAAGAAATAAAAATCAATACAGTTAAGTCAATGTAATTACAAAGTCTGAGATGATGTTTCCAGAATTTCTTTTAATACATCTCCTAGAAATCTTGTAATATTGGAAATAAATACTGGTCACACACTTTTAGAATGTGGAAAGAAAACTTACCGTTTGTTACTCAGTACGGTGGGAGTTATCATGTTGTCTGGGTACAGCAGAGTTGAAGAGCATAGTAGCACCTTACTAGAAATCAGGACTCTGTTTAAGGATCTTGAAGACAATTGACCATCTATCATTTTCTTAGCTTTATTTTACAGAGCTATTTGTTCTATTTTTCATCCAAAATGCAGTTTTAATATCATATGAGAAAAATGTGGGTTCTTTTATCTCATTAGCTGGCTTGTAGAACAAAGCAAACCATATGCTGGTTTAAAAGAGACCTATTCTGAGTGAATGTTTATCATATCCCACACTTTTGCACACAGAATAAAGATAAGTGTCTTTTAGCCTCATAACTAAGCTATGAGCTGTGAGCCAGAGCATCTATTTCACAACACCTTTTTTTTTTTTTTTTTTTTTATTTTTTTTTTTTTTTTTTTTTTTTTTTTTTTTTTTTTTTTTGACAGAGTGTCTCTGTCACTCATGCTGAAGTACAGTGATGTGATCACAGCTCACTTTATCCTCAGCCTCCTGGGCTCACATGCTCTTTCCACCCCAGTTTTGTGAGTATCTGGGACCACAGGCATGTGCCACCATGCTTTACCAATCTTTCTATTTTTTTGTAGAGTCTATGTTGCCTATCATGGTCTCAAACTCCTAGGCTTAAGCAATCCTCCCACCTCAGTTTCTGCAAGCCCTGGCATTACAGGCCTGAGCCATTATAACTGGCTGAAACACCTGCTGTTTACACATATTAACATTTTTGAAATTGAGGTTTATATCATAGCATAATCAGTAGTGTCTTATACTTACTCTTGGCCAGACAACAAGCAGTATGGTCATCTTACTTGCACATGCACATGCTGGGTTATGGACATAGTCATATGAGCTTTGTGAGTGTTGCTACATGTGGAAATTCTACTTGCCTAGCAGATGCCATTGACAGCAGCAGGAATTGTCACCTCTATTAAAATCAAAGAAATCCATTTCAAACTATGCGAGGCTATTGTAAATGACCCAAGCATCTCCCAAGGCTATCATGGTAGCCTCAGATTTCAATTTGTAAGAAACTTCAGGCTAATTTCTAACAGACATTTCTTAACTTCCAGGGATGACTGATTGAATTGAGGAAAGCAAAAGCAAAAACAATAACAAAATACTATGTGTTTAATCCCACATATTTTTAGAGTGCTTGAAAGCAGAAATTAAAGTGCTTTACCTTGTATAGCAGATCCACTCTCTCCCTCCCTCCATTCTTCCTTCTCTCTCCCTCAACCTCCAGCCAACTTCACTTGCTTTAGACATGGAGGTTAGCGATAAGTTTTCTCTCTCCTAGGCTAAATTGAGTAACATGTGCATCTCTGCAATTGTGCTGGGGAACTTTGTGCAAAGAAGCGACTTAAATTATTATGACTTTGTTGAATACAGGCTCCCAAGTCACCATCCTACCTAGTTGCATGTGATGAATGTACACACAAGTTCAGCTAATTTGGGGGAATGAGGTTCCCTATATCATGTTGAATGCTTTTGTGTAGGTGCAGCCTTCCAGAGCCAATTTGGCATACTGTTTATATTGCTTCTTGTAAATATGTATTAGAAATGGATGCATTGTAGGCTGTAGTTTGTTATCCTATGAATGTTGAAGCAGAGGGGGACTTCCAATCATGGAGAACCATAGGTGCAGAATTGCTAGAGTTTTGAAGGCTCAAAACACAAATGTCCCATGTTAGGTATAATCGCTATGACTGACAGTTTGCCAAGTGGAGCCTCTGGCAGAATGTGGAAGCCTCCAGTCAAGGTTCTCTTGGGGTCACTGATTCAAGGGCCTCCAATGAACCTGTCAGCTGCAGCAGCTCTTTGCAAGGTAACACGTAGCAGTGCTCTTGTAAAAGCTGAACACCTGAGCCATGAAGGTCCCCTTGTTTTCCAGCCTGCTATTACTGTTTTGGGCTGCTTCAGTGATCACTCTTTGACTAACAAGATAGGAAACTGTCCCAAAAGCATTGGTTGTGCAATGGAAATGGAATTTTCAGGAAGGCAGCTCACCTGGCTCCAGGGAATCTTAGCTTTGCATTTTAGCAATTATTTCTTTTCTGGAAACCTTATCTGCTCTATTCCCACTGGTTGAACGGGGCCCTTGGTTTTCCAAGTGCCCTCTAAATGCCAGGTCCTGGTTCACAGATAGTTTGCCTCAGATGAAACCCAACGGCATCCACTGTGTTGCCATTGATGTTAGACTTCAGCAAAATCCATACAGGACCTGGAGTGGAGACAACTCAAAACCATTCTCCCAGTTCTGCCCAAGTATCTCTTGTTAAACCTTGTTTTATTTTATGGACTTGTAGGGCCTTCCCACTTGGACAATTCATACATTACAGTAGCTGACTGAGCCATGTGACATGCCACTGTATTTGGCCCTATTTAAGGACCCTTTTATGATAAGACTGCCTGTAATATAGCTGCATTCCTCAGATTACCCCACTGCTAATGAGCTAGTGATGATCTCCTACCTGAGTCCCTACTTGGGGGCTGCTGGAGGTGCCCTCTCCTTGTTAAACATTCATTACTTTTAACTTTATTCTATACAGTGTCAGTAATGTCAAATCACTCAAAATAGCTTGCTGGTCACAAAATGACCCCAGCAGAGTGTGAAAACCTGCTTTCTACCAGCTAAAATAAATTATCTCTTTCCCAGACTAAAAGCTGTTCAGACTTTATGTTAGCTTCTTGAGCTGGACAGACTCCATCTTGGCTTCTTCATTTCAGTTATTTTCTCCCCATTGAGTATGTAACTGTAATACAAAGCTGCATCAAGCTGACACTGGGCACCCAGGAATACGTTTGTTGATAAGAGGCTGAGTGAAGTGGTAGCAGCAAAGCCTGGGAATGCAGGTACACTAAGTGCCCAGGTCCCCATTATCTATAAGTTGTACATCTTTTATGACAACTTTACCCCTCACACCTGGCACTGTTTTATTTATGTATTAGTTTTTTCTTTTAACTTTTTGCTTACTACGCTTTTGTGAAAACCTTGTTTCACCTAGGTTCTCCCCCTTCCTGTTAAAACATGAGTATAAAAGACCACCTAACATTTTCTTTAAGGCCAAGAGAATTTTGGACCTTAGCCACTCTCAGTCACCAGCTTCATAAAGGATTCACAATAAATTCTTAGAGTGTGGCATATTCCTTGACTCATTCAAGTACAAGTGTGTGAATAGGACTACAAGTTCAACATTGAAAAAAATCTTATTACCATTCTTTTCAGCACTATATAATCACACACATTACACATGACAATAATTTTTAAATAATGATCTGGGTGATGTTTTGAATGACATTTTAAAAAATTATTATTCTGTAAGTTCTAGGGTACATATGCAGAACATGCAGGTTTGTTACATAGGTATACATGTGCCATGGTGGTTTGCTGTATCCATCACCCCATCATCTACATTAGGTATTTCTCCTAATGCTATCCCTCCCCTAGCCCTCCATGCTATCTCTTCCCTAGGCCCCCACATCCAACAGGCCTCAGTGTGTGATGCTCCCCTCCCTGTGTCCATACGTTCTCATTGTTCAACTCCCACTTATGACTGAGAACATGGAGTGTTTGTTTTTCTGATCCTGTGTCAGCTTGCTGAGAATGATGGTTTCCAGATTTATCAATGTGCTAACTCATCATTTTTTATGGCTGCATAGTGCTACATGGTGTCTATGTGCCATATTTTCTTTATCCAATCTATCACTGATGGGCATTTGTGTTGAGTAAAAGCCTTTGCTATTGTGAACAGTTCCTCAATAAATATACGTGTGCATGTGTCTTTATAACAGAATGGTTTATAATCCTTTGGGCACACACCCAGTAATGGCATGGCTGGGTTAATTGCTATTTCTGGTTCTAAATTCCCTAAGGAATTGCTACAATGTCTTCCACAATGGTTGAACTAATTTACACTCCCACCAGCAGTGTAAAATTTTTCCTATTTCTCCACATTATCTCCAGCATCTATTGTCTTATGATTTTTTAATGATTTCCATTCTAGTTGGCATGAAATGGTATCTCAATGTGGTTTTCACGTGCAGTTGTGTAATGACCAATGATGATGAGCTTTTTTTCATATACCTCTTGGCTGCATACATGTCTTCTTTTGAAAAGTGTGTTCATATCCTTTACCCACTTTTTGATGGTGTTGTTAAAATTGATGGCGAGAAGGAGCATGCCAATGCCAAGAAGATCCTGCTGGAGATGGGAGAGTTCTTTCAGATTCAGGATGATTACCTTGACCTCTTTGGGCACCCCAGTGTGACTGGCAAAATTGGCACTGACCTCCAGAACAATAAATGCAGCTGGCTGGTGGACCAGTTGTCCACTCCAGAACAGCACCAGATCCCGAAGGAAAATTATGGGCAGAAGGAGGCTGAGAAGGTGGCCCAAGTGAAGCTATTATATGAGGAGCTGGATCTGTCAGCTGTGTTCTTGCAGTATGAGGAAGACAGTTACAACCACATTATGGATCTCATTGAACAGTACGCAGTGTCCCCGCCCCGAGATATCTTTCTGGGGCTTGCGCGCAAAATCTACAAGCAGAGAAATTGCCCGAGAGACAGCAAGGGTGGAGAGGAGGCTCTCAATGAATAAACTATTGTGTAAAAAACAATACTTTCCATCAATACGTAGTTTATTGAGGGTTTTTAGCATAAAGGGCTGTTGAATTTTGTGGAAGGTCTTCTCTGCAACAATTGAGATAATTATGTAGTTTTTGTCTTTGGTTCTGTTTATGTGGTGAATTACATTTATAGACGTAAGTATGTTGAACCAGCCTTGCATCCCACAATGAAGCCTACTTGAACATGATGAATAAGCTTTTTGATGTGATGTTGCAATCAGCTTGCCAGTATTTTATTGAAGATTTTTTCATCTGTGTTCATCATGGATATTGGCCTGAAGTTTTCTTTTCTTGCTGAATTTCTGCTGGGTTTTGGTATCAGGATGATGTTGATCTCAAAATGATTTGGGAAGAATTGGAATAGTTTCAGAAGGAATGCTACCAGCTTCTCTTTGTATGTCTCATAGAATTCAGTTGTGAAACCATCTGGACCTGGGCTTTTTTTTGGGTGGTAAGCTCTTAATTGCTGCCTCAATTGCAGACCTTGTTATTGGTCTATTCAGGGGTTCAAATTCTTCCTGGTTTAGGCTTGGGAGGATGCAAGTCCAGGAATTTGTCCATTTCTTCCAGGTTTATTAGTTTATGTGAATAGAGTTGTTTGTAATAATCTCTGATGATGGTTTGAATTTCTGTGAAGTCTGTGGTGATATCCCATTTATCGTTTTATATTGCATCTGTTTGATTATTCTCTCTTTTCATTTTATTAATCTGGCTAGTGGTCTGTCTATTTTGTTGATCTTTTCAAAAAACCAGCTCCTGGATTTATTGATTTTTTTAAAGCTTTTTGTGCCTCTACCTCCTTCAGATCTGCTCTGATCTTAGTTATTTCCTGTCTTCTGCTAGGTTTTGGTTTTTTTTTAATCTTGGTCCTCTAGCTCTTTCAATTTTGATGATAGGGTGTCAATTTTAGATCTCTCTTTGCTTCTCATATGAGTGCTTATTGCTATATATTTTCCTCTAGACACTGCTTTAAATGTGTCCAAGAGATTCTGGTACATTCTGTCTTTGTTCTCATTGGTTTCAAAGAACATCTTTATTTCTGTCTTCATTTCATTGTTTATCCAGTCAACTTTCCAGAGCCAGTTGTTCAGTTTACATGAAGCTGTGTGGTTATGAGTTAATTTCTGAAATCTGCATTCCAGCTTGATCGCACTGTGGTCTGAGAGTCAGGGAGCTGCTTGAGGAGACAGTCTGTGCTCTCCTTAATGAGGTGACTCTCAGCTCCCTGAAAAAAAGAAAAAAAAAAGCAGGAGTTGCAATTCTCATCTTTGATAAAATAAACTTTAAACCAACAAAGATCCAAAGAGACAAAGGAGAACATTACATAATGGTAACAGGATCAATGCAACAAGAAGAGCTAATGATCCTAAATGCATAGGCACCCAATATAGGATCACCCAGGTGCATAAGGCAAGTTGTTAATGACTTACAAAGAGACTTAGACTCCCACACAATAATACTGGAGACTTTAACAGCCTATTGTCAATATTAGACAGATCAACCAGACAGAAAATTAGCAAGGAGATCCAGGACTTGAACTCAGAGCTGGATCAAGCAAACCTAATAGGTATTTACAGAACTCTGCACCCCAAATACAAAGATTATGTATTCTTCTCAACACCACATTGCACTTACTCTAAAATTGAATACATAATTGGAAGTAAATCACTTCTCAGCAAATGCAAAGGAACAGAGATCATAACAAACAGTCTCTCAGGACAGCGCAATCAAGTTATAATTCAGAAACTAACTCAGAGCTGCACAGCTTCATGGAAACTGAATAACTGGCTCTGGAACCTTGATTAAATAAACAATGAAATGATGACAGAAATAAAGATGTTCTTCGAAACCAATGAGAACAAAGACACAACATACCAGAATCACTCGGACACATTTAAAGCAGTGTCTAGAGGAAAATATATAGCAATAAATGCCCACATGAGATGCAAGGAGAGATCTAAAATTGACACCCTATCATCAAAATTGAAACAGCTAGAGGAGCAAGATAAAAAAACTCAATGTCTAGCAGAAGACAAGAAATAATTAAGATCAGAGAAGAACTGAAGCGGGTAGAAACACAAAAAACCCTTGAAAAAATCATTAAATCCAGGAGATTGTTTTTTGAAAGGATCAACAAAATAGACAGACCACTAGCCAGATTAATAAAAAAGAAAAGAGAGAATAATAAAATAGATGTAATAAAAAACGATAAAGCAGATATCACAACAGATTCCACAGAAATTCAATCATCAGAGATTATTACAAACAACTCTATGCACGTAAACTAGTAAACCTTGAAGAAGTGGATTAATTCCTAGACACTTGCATCCTCCCAGGCCTAAACTAGGAAGAAGTCAAAATTCTGAATAGAACAATAACAAGGTCTGAAGGTGAGGCAGCAATTAAGAGCCTAACAACGAAAAAAAGCCCAGGTCCTGATGGGTTCACAGCTGATTTTAACCAGACATACAAAGAGTAGCTAGTACCATTCCTTCAGAAATTATTCCAAATAATCCACAAAGAGGGAAGGCCCAAATCATTTTATGAGGCCAACATCATCCTGATACCAAAACCTCGCAGAGACTCAGCAACAGAAGAAAACTTCAGGCCAATATCCACGATGAACATAGATGCAAAAATCTTCAATAAAATACTGGCAAGCTGATTGCAAATGCACATCAAAAAATTTATCCACTATGATCAAGTAGGATTCATCTGGGTGATGCAAGGCTGGTTCAACATACACAAGTCTATAAATGTAACTCGCCACATAAGCAGAACCAAAGAGAAAAGATACATGATTATCTCAATTGATGCAAAGAAGGCCTTTGACAAAATTCAACAGCCCTTTGTGATAAAAACCCTCAATAAACTAGTTATTGACAGAACGTATCTCAACATAATAAAAACTACTTACGACAGACCAACAGCCAATATAACACTGAATAGGCAAAAATTGGAAACAACCTCTTTGAAATCTGGCACCAGACAAGGATGCCCTCTCTCACCACTCCTATACAGTATAGTACTGAAAGTTCTAGCCAGAGCTATCAGGAAAGAAAAAGAAATAAAGTGTATTCAGATAGGAAAGGAGGAAGTCAAATTGTCTCTATTTGCATTTGACATGATTGTATATCTAGAAGACCCCATCGTCTCAGCCCAAAACCTCCTGAAACTGATAAGCAACTTCAGCAAAATCTCAGGATACAAAGTCAATGTGCAAAAGTCACAAGCATTCGTATACACCAATAACAGATTTAAGGAGAGCCAAATCAAGAGTGAACTGCCATTCACAATTCCTACAAAGGGAATAAAATACCTACGAATACAACTAACAAGGAACGTAAAGGGCCAATTCAAGGAGAACTGCTAGCCACTGCTCAATGAGATAAGAGAGAACGTAAACAGATGGGGAAACATTCCATGTTCATGGTTAGGAAGAATCAATATCATGAAAATGTCCACCCTGCCCAAAGTAATTTACAGATTGAGCACTATCCCTATCAAGCTGCCAATGACATTCTTCAGAGAACTGGAACAAAACACCTTAAAAGTCATATGGAACCAAAAGAGAGCCAGCATAGCCAAGTCAATTCCAAGCAAAAAGAACAAACTGAGAGGCATCACACTACCAGACTTCAAACTAGACTTTAAGGCTACAGTAATCAAAACAGCATGGTACTGGTACCAAAACAGAGATATAGACCAATGGAACACAACATCTCTATGACCATCCGATCTTTAACAAACCTGACAAAAACCAGCAATGGGGAAATGAATCCCTGTTAAATAAATGGTTGGAAAACTGTCTAGCCATGTGCAGAAAGTAGAAACTGGACCCTTTCCTCACACCTTACACTAAAATTAACTCCAGATAGATCAAAGACTTAAACATAAGACCTAACACCATAGAAAGTCTAGAAGAAAATCTAGGCAAAACCATTCAGGACATAGGTGTAGGCAAGGACTTCATGACCAAAACACCAATAGCATTGGCAACAAAAGCCAAAATAGACAAATGGGACCTAATCAAACTCCGCAGCTTCTGCACAGCAAAAGAAACAGTCATTAGAGTGAATTGGCAAGGAACAGAATGGGAAAAACTTTTTGCAGTTTACCCATCTGACAAAGGGCTGATATCCAGAA